GGAGATGGAGGGAGGGAGAGGTGCAGAGATCGGAGTGGGGAGACAGAGGCGGGGAAGAGAGACAAGGTAGGGATGGGGAGGATCACGAGGCAGGACAGACGGGAAACAGACCCACAGAGATGGGATCAAAATGGGAGCAGAGAGAGAGAGAGAGAGCCAGGGAGATGGGAAGAGAGATGCAAACCATGGAGAGATAGTCCCGGAGAGAGCGCGACAGAAATAAGGAGAGAGATGGAAGGTCAGGGACAGAGGGGCTCAGAGGGCGAGGCAGGGAGATGAGGTGGGGAGATAAGAGGGAGTGACAAATGGGGAGGAATTGTAGGGAGCCAAGGAGAGAGGCAGGGATGGATGGGGGAGCGAAGGGAGGCAGGAGAGACGAGAGGAGAGAGAGGAGAAAGTTGGACAGAGCGAGGAAGACAGAGACCCCACAGCCACCAAGGGACGGACGAGCACCCACAAGTGATGGAGAGCCAGGCAGGACCAGAGATGGAGGGAGGAGGCGGGCAGAGCAGACAGAAAACAGGAAGACAGAAATAGCGAGGCAAGGCCGAGATCAAGACCCCCGCCAGGGAGGTGCCCAGCACAGACATGAAAGGGAAGGCGAGTGGCAGAGGGATCAAAAATGAAGACAAAGATGAGACCGGGAAAGGGGGTCAGGTGTGTGGGGGGAAGAGAAAGAGAAAAAAAAATTAGTGGGGCATTCTCTCCTTAGGATGCCTGACCTCACCCCTCACCCAGCCCCGCAGCCCCCAGCCCACAATTGTCCCCTTAATCCTGCCCCTATCTCCCCCACCCCCATTCTCAGCTAGACAGAATGATGGCTCAGGGTGGCGGTGGGGTTGGGGGGGGCACAGCTGTGGAGAGCTGGGGGACAGGGGGTCCCTGGCTCCCAGCCCAGAGCAATTTTGTAAATGAGAGGAAATGGAGCCTTCCTGCCCATGGTGTCCCCTGTTGAATGCTAGCTGCCTGGGGCGGGCGGGCTAGGAGCCCAGACTCCTGGCTTCTGGGTCCGAGGGAGGCGGGCATGGGGGGTGGGGGCTGGACCCCTGGTTCCCAGAGAGGAATGACAGCCCGTACTAGGGGCTTCCTGCAGGGGTGAGGGTCCAGACAGGGGAGGGTTCTATCTTGGCTGTCAATCAGGCTCCTATCCGGTTGCCATGGTAGCACAGGCCTGTCTACCCCACTGATAGCTGGAGTGGGGGAGAGGCCCACAGCCCCCTCCCCTGCCCCGAGGCCCCCCACCCCCACCTCACCCAGCTTCCCAGAGATCCTGGGCCACTGTCCTCTCAGGAAGGGGTGGGGGGTGGGGGCTCCTAGCGTGCCTGTCCCTCCCAAATCCTCGCTCCCCATGTCCCTCCTCTCCTCTGCCCTTCCCCGAGCAGCTGGCTCAATCAGTGCTCGGAATAGCGTCCCCCCACCCCAAAATAACCCACAGCTGTGGCCTGGCCTCCCTGGGGTTAACACTTCGCTCTCCTCCATTCCTGGTGGCTGCTCACCCCTCAGCCCCTCCTCTGCCTCTCAGACCTGCTCCCCTCCCCTCCCCCCGGCCTCTGCCCTCGGGGTCCCCAGGGTCCTGCTCCCCACTGAGGCCCAGGAGGGCAGCTCCAGCCCCGCCCTTCTGAGGAGCCTGGATGCTCAGTCCGCTCCCCCCTGGGTTCAGAGGGCAGTCTCCCAGCCCTGGGGGCCGAGAGGCGGTATCCCCAGGCTCAGGGGACTCTGGAGGCCCAATCCCAGAAGCTGCACCCCCAGGGGCCCCAAGTCTCCACCTCGTCAGGCCCCACTGCCATCCCCACTGGGGCCAAAGAGAGCCCTGCCCACAGCCCTGTCAGGGACGGGGAGACTGAGCCAGCCCCCTCTCCCCTCAGACCAGAAGCCCTCCCCTCCAACTTCTCCAACAGGCTCCGGAGTCCTGGCCTGGGCTCCCTCCTGCCAGCACCCAGGAGTGCGGGTGCTCAGCCCCGACCATTCCCAGGACCCAGGAGGCCCGGCTTCCCCACCACCTCCCCGGCCTGGCCTCAGGGGTCCAGGTGCCCAGCCTCCTCCGTGCCCAGGAACCAGGCGTCCAGGCCCAGAGCCCTCTCCTGCCTTAAGGACCCCCTTTTGTCTCAAATCCTGTCAGTCCCCGCATCCCGGGCACCCCCAGCTCCAGGCTCCCCAGTTGCCCAACTCGTCCTGTCTACAGCATAGCCTGACCCCCAGCTGAGGAGGAGGAGGGTGCCAGAGGTTCCTGGGGCGCCCCTATCCCCACCACCCCCCTCCCCAAAATCCATCACAGATGACAGGAGAGGCCACTTGGATCAACAGCCCGCCCTCCCCTCGCGTCGTGCTGCGGACGGCTTGCCTTCCCGTTCCCGCACCTACAGCACCCTCCCCTCCCCGCCCCAGCCCCGTGCCCAGAGGCTGGGGGGGTTCTCTGGGACCCTGAAGCGGGGGTGGCAGCCTGGGGCGAGGGGTGCGGGCCTGGACGCCCTCAAGGTCCTTGGAAGGGGTATTAATAGCAGACTCATAGCTCTGAGAGGGGAGGGGGGAGCGGGCGGAGAGAGGGAGAGGGCCAGGCCGGCGAGGGGGAGAGGGATGCGGACAGGGTGTGCAGAGGGAAGGGGAGATGGGGAGAG